TTATCTAGGTGTAAGGGGATAATTTAACAAGGGTCGACTAATGCTTCATAGAGTTCTCCCCACTGTAAGTGATTTTCTCATAACATTAGATAAAATTTTGCCTCTGAAATTTCACTCAGTAGCTTGGAAAGCGAAGTTTGCAACACCCTTTCAGTCACTGATTTATTTCAATTACATGACCAACCTAGCTTATAAAGTAACCAAATGGCAATCACACAAAGCAGTGCCAACATTGTACTGTAAGATACCTCCTGATAGCACAGAAAGCAAGAGTTTAGTATTCAATAAACCAACCTAATTTCTTGATAGCTGATCAATCCCAACTATAATGATCAGGAAGTCAGCTGCAGTAGCTCAGCCAAATGTCTGAGTTTCCTCTCAACTAACTACAGCATTTTCTCATCTAGCTCATTGGAGATAGCCAGATAAGTACCGGGGACAGACAGATAAGTATTTGCAGTTCTTTTCTCCTCATCAGATGAATCAACATGACATTAGATGGCATCTTGTCTTCCTATGACTTCTGGTCAACCCAGTGCACTAGAGTTTCATCTGTGACATGCAAGTGCAACTTATTGAAGTGCTCATCATGCTTTCATGCTCATCATGCCTTGTGTCCATTGTAACTCATATGTTAATGAAAGGATCTGCCAGAACATGAGGTATAGATTTGTTCAGCCAGATTCAACCTGTTTTTGTGGTGTTGACATGTATCTAAGTTAGACCAAGTCTTGATTCTTTTACCATTTCTCATAGCAGTTTTAATGTCTGGTGGCCTTTCGTAGCTGTTGGCATGCAAACTTATGTGCATCAACTAAGGCAGAACCTTAACCACTCCATATATTTTTTTGAACATTTTAGGACATCCACTCTAAAGGGAGGACCATACATCATATTGACAGAGAGCAGGATTTCCCATCTATACATAAGCATGTTCAGTAAATAGCCTGTAGAACACTGTCCAGTTGTGCTGTATGGTAAATTTTCATCCTAGTCATTTAGCAAGCATGTATTTGATAGTCTGTTTTTACTTGTTCTGTTAAACCATCAGACTGAAGGTGGTACGATGAAGTTCATGTCATCACCACACTTAGCACTTTACACAACTCAGAGAACAGTTGGTTGGTGAAATCAGCTCTTTGATCCATGTGCATCTGTTATGGGACTCCAAACCATGGTATCCAGTGTTTCACCATCACATAATACTTGAAGTGTACCAAATTATCAACCAATGGATAAACCTTGGCCCAATTCACAAAGTAGTCGATGGCAATGAGTATATACCAATGACCTTATTCAATCTCTGAAAATAAACCTGTAATATCCATGGCTATTCTCTGTTGAGGATATTTAACAATTCTCTGCTGAAGTTTATCTTGGCTAGCTACCTCTCTGGAGAGAACACACTTTATAGTGTTCATACCATAACCAAACATCTTGACTCAAATGCAGTAAGTAGAAATGCCATCAATCATTTGCAGAATTGCAGGTAGCATGCTCTCAAATCTATGTTTGTGTAAAGTCTGGAAAATGTCTTGTCTTAGAGCTCTGGGGGAGCACTAGATGCATCACAGCTTAAGAAACCACAGCTTGCCACTTGATAACAATGGTACAGCACATCTTCTTTTACTCATTACTGACCATAAATGTACCACAGATTATATCCTTGCTACATTCCTTTATCTGTACTGGTAAAACTTTACCTTACTCCACAGCAAGGAGCACACATGTTAAATCTCAGTCCTTCAGTTGTTCTTTCTGTTAATTGTGGCATTAGAATCTTCAGTAGAATCTTCTACTGCATGGTTTGACACTGCAATGGCAAAAATGGTTTCAACTCCTACACAATGTCAGGATCAAGACATTCAATGAATGGACAGGGTCTCACCATGCAGCAAGACAATCCATCCATGTTTCTGTGTTATAGAGCCAGGCAATGCAGTATGACGGGCTATAATCCATTCCATATTTTTAAGCTTTAAAAAGTCAGAATGCCTGTTCGCATTCTCTCCTCCATCTAAAGTGCATCTCAATTTTAATGATAGCAGACAATGAGATGCTGTCTTGGCGATCTTTGTTTACAAATCAAATGGTAATACAATGCAAAAAAACACACAAAAAACAAGAAAAATACAGACATCTTATTTGATCACAGAGTGAAGCTAGTCTCTCATTTCTGCTATCTAACCAGGGTTAGATTTGTAGACCATGAATGCACATTTTCCTGGTTTCAGTTTTCACTCTGCTTTACCTGCTAGTATAACATTTAGATTTTCAGTAACAAAGTGTGTGTCCAAACACCACTGACACAGACTAAGTATCTCTCCCATTGTAGCTCCTTCAGTGTAAATTCCATTAGTTTATAGAAAGTGGTGGAAAAAAAAAAACAGTCATAGATTTCCTCTCATCATTCAGCTCAACTTGCCAGCATCTGAATGCCAAATCTAAAGTATTGAACTAATGGAAACCTTTCAGTGCATCCACACATTCATTTTTTCACAGCAAGGGAAAGGTTTCAACATGAGTTATTGCCTTCATCTAAATTCAACAGATAATACTGGTGTACCTTCATTCTTTCTAACAATTACTAGAGATGAACCAGCACTCTCTGAAAGTTGTTCAATCCAATCTTTTAATATCTGCATTTCAGCACTGGCTATATACTTAGTGTCTATGGAATCTGGCATGGTGGTTTCTTGAGTGGACATGCATTGCCTAGTGGTAAGTTATTACTGATAAACCTAATTGGCAATCTGGCACCACAAATAGATTAGCATATTCAAACAACAAATCACTGAGTTGCTTTTACTGTATTTGGTTCCTGGTTGTTTACACAATCCTCGTCCAACAATCTCAGATGTGTTGGCAGCCACAACCTTAGCATTACCACTAGCATCAGTTGCTTACACTTCACTTACTGCATCAATAACCATTCCAATGTAAAGCTGGAAAACATATTCCCCATAAATACAAAACAACACTGGGACTTCATCCCTCCTCAGAAAGATAACTGCCTCAGCTAATGCTGTTTGCCATCTGGAAAGGAAACAATATAATTAATGTGTGGGCTCTATAACTCTAAACAATAGCACTGGTGCACTAGACTTTTTCTACTGTCAACCACAAAGTACCACTTGTGTATACTGAGGTATTGTTATTTATATATATATATATATATATATATATACACTCATGCAGCCCACTGTTACTGGGGTTGATCTGGCCAATATCAGATAAATCTCATGTGGAACATAATTTCACCTATAAAATGACTGATAAATTCTGCAATATCCATACTGAAAATTCCACTGACAGGAACAAGTTCAGAGATGACAGCCTTTGTTCTCCACTCATGACTAGTTTATCAATATTTGCCAGTCATTATCCACTGATTAGTGTGTTGATCTCACTTGGAGAGCCTGATATACTGCAAGATCTGTCAGCATTCTGGCTGCTCCTATATCAACCACAAACTTTATCTCTCATCCTTGTTCCCTTACAGGTATGTACCAGGCTCCACTAAGCTCATATAGAGCTGAGCTAACCACCAAACCTTTTGAAACAAGCTGCCTGCTGTGCTCCCCAAAGTCAATGCCCAGACATATTTTGGTTTCACTAGTTTTTCCCAAGGTTGTAGTATTTACCCAGAATGATGTCTAGCTAGAAGCATCACTGGCATAGGCTATGGTATGAAAACTCTGAGAAGACTGCAATAGATTTGCTCATTCACTAGAAACCAGTGTGGTCACATCACAACACTGGGATGTGTGGGTAGCTGATTAATCCTCAGAGTGCTCAAGCTTGGTGCAGTGGAGATACCTGGGTACGATTGCCTGTCCAAAATGTAGCCACAGCAGCTGCTCCTTTGTTCCTCTCTTGCTACCAGTTTGAAATGATTAATTCACAGTTTGTCACAAAGGAAACTGCCATTGTAAGGGTGAAAATAGTTCTCACAGCCTGGTAATGCCTCATTATTATGCATGGAAGTCTCTTTACAACTTATTCACAAGGATGTCTTTGCAATCTGCACCTGCTATCACAGGCTACTCTTTATCATGCAGATGGCAAAGATTGTCCAAGTAACTAGATATATTCTCAGTTGTGTCTCTATTCCAAGCTTTGAACCTAGGCCAATGGTTTGCTTGAAACCTTAACAAAATCAATCCTTGTCTGTATCTCAGTCTTTCAGCTCCATCTCACTTAGATGATCGATTAGATCCAGAGCTGAACTATCCAAGTATCGGACTTCTTGCTCCTGAGACCAGTCATTTCAAGTAACTATCTGCCTAAAACAATTTACAAATGATGTATGTTTTCTTTTGCTATACCTTTAAATATTGGAGTTGTGGCTAATCTCTCCCCTGTAGATTCTCTGACAATACTTAGCTGAGACACCACTGACACCACAGATATGGTGCATTAGGACCACTCCAGGACTCTGACCCTCAGATGAGTAGGAATTACATCATTCTTTATTTAAAAAAATATACCTGTCTCCTTCTTCCACAGGAAAAAAAACTGTTTATTAGCTTACTAGTTTTGTGGCATTTAGATGTAGGCTATGTTAAGCATAAACTCTACATAATGAAAAATGATTAAGCATTGGACAAAAACAACATTTGTATAAAACTGAATATAAATATTTTCCCTATCTAGAGCTACTTCTAGGAGTGAAGATCATGCTGACATTTAACAAGGAAATACATTTTAAAACTACATAAGCAGTATACCTGTTTGGATTTGCCTTAGTATGAAAACCTGCTTTATAGTTAGCAAAAATCCTGTAAACACAATGCCAGTAAAACTAAAATGCAAAATATCAGAATCAGATGAATAATTGAAGTATTTGTAACAGCACTCACACTTAATGAGTTTTGTATTACTATTCCATCTATATTACAGATTTTTATTGCTGGCGTGTTGTTTTTTATGTACACAATATCAACTCAAAGAAATTCTATATAGGTGACAGATTAAAACATGACTAGTAACAATGTTACCTGTTGGTAGAGATGTTTGTATTTCTGTAGAAATCCCTTGCAATATGTGTTTCTGAAGAGCTTGTACCTAGAAAAGGAAACAATAAAATAGCACATCATAAAAAAAGTTCATTTTGTGAAATATGTTTTCCACTGTATATATAAGATGTTATTCTGTATTAAAATTGTGCTTATACTTTTGTAATGTTGTGTAATACAAGTATAAACCAAGCATACAGTACCAGATCTTCACAAGGACTAGAAAAATAAAGACCTATAGGAAAGGCATAGCGATTTGTTGTGGGTGGAAGAAAAGAGACATAAGATGGTGTCAAGATAAAATAACACATGAACTCTTTACTGTCAGAAAATGAAGAGGAGATTGATTGTTAGGTGGTAATCTAATGCATCATTTTCAAGTAAAACCAAATCTCTGACAAGTATCAGATAGGCAATCTTGCACATAACAGCAGATTCAATCAGAAATAAGGGAAGTGTTTGTATTAGATAAATCGAATAAGTTCCTTTACGTGTAAAATAATGAGTCAGAACAAATGTGAATAAATGAACAAAGTCTTTACTATAACAAATACGTGGAAAACATAATATGTGTACCAATGCAGACAAAATGATAGCCCTTTCTTGTAGGCTGGGTTTAGCATCACATCTTTCCCTTCCTCAGGATTAATCTTAAAACACAGTGTATGTACCTATGCAGACAAAATGATAGTCCTTTGTAGTAGGCTGGGTTTAACTTCACATCTTTCCCTTCCTCAGGATTAATCTTAAAATACAGTGTATGTACCTATGCAGACAAAATGATAGTCCTTTGTAGTAGGCTGGGTTTAGCTCCACATCTTTCTCTTCCTCAGGATTAATCTTAAAACATAGTGTTTGTGTACCTGTGCAGAGAAAATGATAGTCCCAGTCCTAGTCCTATGTTAGTGATTAAATTCAACTAAAATGGAAATGGGCAGTCAAAAGTGGAATTGAACTCATGCGATTCAGGAAATTCAGAGAAATTGAACATGACCGACCATGCCTTTTATGATTATGATTGTGACGACTTTTTTAATTTTCATGACAATGTCATTAAACAACAATAAAAATATTATAATTTAAAACAAGGAACTTAAATATATTGGAAAATGTTATTTATATTAAACAATGGGCCTTGATTATCTGCTGCTTCTGTTATCCCCGATTTTTTTGCTTTCCCCAGACCAGCACAGATAATCAAGGCACCAGTGCATGCTAATGATCACATGATATCAATAACAACTTGATAGTATTGCCTGAACTAACTGCCTTTGATCCTATCTGAGTCTAAACATTTGCACTGATTGGTTGAATTGAGAGAAAGCAGAAAAACAAAATGGTGCAAAATTAGTACCATGTTGTGCAATCACAATGCTTCATTTGTAAAAAACATTAAAAGTGCTGAATTTGCCATTAAAGTCCTAGAAACAAAGTTTGATTGACAGTTCAAAGAACGCAAAAATAGTTTCGGATATCCAAGAGCCCCAAACTGTTCTACATTCAAGTTCTATTTAGCATAGCCCTATGCATGAATAAAATGGGAGAAAACACTAGGCACCACGATGAAATTTTTAGTTGCCATGTGGAGGTTTGAATTAGAAGAAAAAGAGTGGAATAAAAATATATTATTTAGCAAAATATAAATTCAAATTAACTTTTCTACAAAAAATGAAGATAATCTGCACATGATCATCAGGCAATAGAAGAAACAATGAAACAAAGATGAGACTCTACTAGTGAGTTTAACTCACTCAAGTCAAGAATAAGTCTGTTTGCAAATACCAATCCTGGATTTAAAGTTTGTCTTCTATATACCGTTGATAAAGAAAAAAACTAAATTACAATGTCAAGAATAAACAAATCTCTCTGTTCCATGTAACAATCATTGAGCATTCTAACATATACTACATAAAGTAGAACACATAATGACTATACCATGAAACATTAGATAATGTTATAAGTTATATTTCAAGTGTCTTAATTTGTTAGCTAGAGGGTGTATGAAGTTATAATATAATAACTTCGACTGAAATCTAAATTGGTAGTTATAAACACTAGTAAGCAATAAATTAATCTTTATGTCAAAGTGAAGTATTTAATGAAAATTTTTTAGGATATCAGAGAGAGTTATTGCATGTGTTCTGTTATTCAGTTACTTAGTGAGTTATGTGTTTGTCTATTTAAAAAAGTTAGTTAATTTAGGCATACACATCACAATTTATATTGAAACATTGTATTTGAAGTTAGGTATATCTAATTTCAGAGTTTTTGTTAAATGCAATTGTCACTTTCACACTTTTATAATGGCTTTTAGTCTATGTTACATTAAGGAAAAAATATACTAATTTGTTATTGTAACATACAATAAACTTGTCATTATTTTATATAAATAATTCAAAAGAACCTACCCAACAATAGAATATGTTACAGCAATAGTTTCCATGATCAGACCCTGTTACATAAATTGACAACTAAGGCTAAATTTAGCACAAGATCTCAAACAGATTTAATACAATTCAAGTTATAATTTCCAAAAAAGTTGTTTTATAAGAAATATATACCACAGGATTGTGTGATATATTGTATTTTCATACCATAACCTCTTCTCCCTTATCTTTGGCCTGTACTCAAGGCAACTTTAATTTAAGTTTAACATCATTTTATACTTTTCAACACGATCCAGCAAAATCATAGCCCTTGGATGCTTAGATTGTCATTAGGTATAAATCATCACAATGTAAAAATATAATGATGAAAAAAAACTTTTAAAGGTCAAAATGCAATATATGAAATAAAAAATATATATAATAAAACACTTTTAGTACAAATAAAGAAATGTAATAAAACCTTTACGATGTGCAATACAGTAGGCTATAATTCACAATCAATAAAAGCCTACATATATATAAGAAAAAACCTTTAAATGCAATATAAACCATAAAATATTTAAAGTATCAAAATTATAAATTCACCTAAATAAAATACAAAATTAACCTTCAAATAAAGTCATATATATACAAATAGAATAGAAAGTAGCTTTCAAGTTATGAAATATATATCTGTTAAGGTTAATTTTGTATTTTATCTATATGCATACTTATGAAACTCAAGGAGAGAATTAAAAAATATCAACTTAACATACATACCTGATATACATAATTACATAGTATGATATTCATGATATTTATATATATATATATTAGGTCATCAAGAAACTAATGTCGCTTTTTTTAGGTGAAAAAACCTGAACAACTTATATGTCAACACAAAACATTTATTAAATGAAATAGTCTCCACTCTTATGGATAATGCTTTTCCATCTTACAATCAGGTTGTTAATGCCCTGATTAAAGAAATCACTAGGCTTTAAAGCAAAAAACATGTTGATGTCCTCTTTAATACCTTCCACATTTGCATACGTTTTCCCATTAAGGTGGTGTTGCAGCAAATGAAAAAGATGGTAATCTGATGATGCCATATCTGGAGAATATAGTGGGTGGTAGAGATCTTCCCAACCCAACTCCATAATCTTGTGTTGTGTCAAACATGCTACATGTGGACGTGCATTGTTGTGGAGAAGAACACCTTTCTGATTGATGAGTGAAGGGCGTTTCTGATGAAGGGCTTGATTTAAACATTCTAGTTGCTGATTATACATCTCTGCATTGACAGTTCGCTGTGGATTGAGGAGGTTGAAATAAATTACTCCTTTGATGTCCCACCAAATGCAAAGCATCACTTTCTATGGATAGAGTCCAGGTTTTGGAGTCGGACATGGTTTTTGTCTAGGACTGAGCCATTGTTTTCGGCATTTAATATTCACATAGACAATCCATCTTTCATCACCGGTGACAATTCTGTCCAAAAATGGTTTACGTGCATTATGCGCCAGAAAAGGAGAAGCAACGTTAACACGTTGGAAACAATGATCATTGTGAGGCATCCAACAAGCATCTTCAGAGCATCAATATCAATTACAACATGTTGGCCCCTGCCATCACAGTTTTTTAGGCTAAGGTCACTTGAACAAAATTTACTGAACCATCGTTGACACTTACGAAAGTAAAAAATATTTCCATAAACTTCTTTGTGGCTACAGAGGCATTGTTTCTCTTACTGTATTCAAAAAGCATTACATGCCAAACGTGTGTCTTGTCGTGTGCCATCACTATAAGGGATTAGAGTATACTAAACTTTACACATTACATAGACTACACTAATGTGACATTTAGGCAGTTTGCTTAACTATTATATGTAATATATGTTTTTTGGGGGGTGGTTAATGAAAGTGTTCCAAAATGCGACATTAATTTATATATATATATATATATATATACTAGATGTACTTCTACATGGTCCTCGAAAGTGTTGTTTGAAGGGTAAATGAAACCAAAATTAAGAGTGAAAAATATTTTTATTTCTTGCTTTTGAAGTTCATATGTTATGCTGTGTTTATAGCCTACAGAGTGTATAATCATTCTCATGATTCATGGCATGTGCATGTTTTGCTGACATCATGACAGTATGAATTGCAACATTAAGCATCCTTCATGTGATGTTATTTTAGTGTATACTGACTTACTGACTGATAGACAACACACTACTGTATAGTGGTGTGAGTGATTAAAACAGGTGACCCCTCCAGGCAGCCTTATGTGCTCTTTTGGGGAAATACTGTTGTGAAGAAATGGATAAACCAATTTCAAAATTTGGTAGGGAAAACAGGTTGATCCCTAAAAGATACATTTTAAATAGATATGTAATGAATGGTTTCAGATTCTCATTCATTTTCACCATTTATATGGCACTAATGAAAGTTCAATTGAGTAAATATTGTATGGTGTGTGCCATCCCAGAAAAAAGTAAGGGTAAACTCCAGCAACAAATTGTTGGTTTTCCTCTCCAGGACCCCAAGTGGCACAGCAGTATATCTGCAGACTTATACCCTAGAAACCAGGTTTCAATCCCAGTGGTTGTCAAAGCATAGGTAGCCCATTGTGTATCTTTGTGCTTAACGAAAGAAACAAACCTCCTCTCCAGATAATAGTCCTGGATATCACTGATTCACTCTTAGAGATGGAGATAGGCCACCTATACATGATTATGATTATCAACTAGCTCAAAACATTGCTGAGGTTTGATACATTAATAAAGTCAAGGGTTGATGTACATATGGAGCACTGGATAGCCAAATTTGGTGCACCTGAAGAGATACACTCAGATAAAGAGCTAATTGTTCACAGATTTAGTGTAAAGAGTTATGTGTGGTAAAATAACAAACTTCTCTTCCCAGTGTGGCGGGTTAGTGGAGAGGGTAATATAGACTGTCAATGGCATGCTTGCTAAGTTTGTTATCCCAGACTGAATCAATTGATGGTGTTTCACAATGGAACAAAGATCAACAGGTTGTTCACCACATATACTAATGTTTGATTGAGAAATTGTGCTTTGTAAATATGTGTAGTGGTTAAGGATGTGCATTAGTTAATGTGCACAATTCTGAGCATCAACAGCTAGGAAAGGCCATCATATGTCAAAAAGATTATATTAAAAACAGTCAAGGAATGGATACATCAAT